AAGCTTGGTAGTTAATAAAGGAAGTTCTCAGGGCATTGCCATGGGACTCTGCTGGCAGACATTCATTTTCTCTCTAAAGCTAATTGCTTTCCTAATTGCTTATGATCACCCACTTTCTTTGTTCTGTGATCACCTACATTTGGCACCCAACGTGGGACAATCAAACAGGCATGAAAAACAAGCCATTTACCAGAGGATTCAAACAGACTTTTGAAAGGGAAATCAATATTGCCTGAGGTGTATGCAATCAACACAGCTCACCATGCCTGGCATGGGTTTCAAAACGTGTCTCCATCCTTAATAGGATTCCGGTGAGTATTCAGTGAATAAACAAACACGATGGGAAATGCCCTTTCACCACTTCAAAACAGACATAAACAGGAATTAATTTATCTCTTGCGCAGAGAGGGTCATCATGATGTCTCTGATCAAGTGGAGGATTTATTGAGAGAAATACATACTTTTTGTCCTATTTATAAGGAAGAGGGGACTTATAAGCTTTCAGATTGGGATAAATTGGAAATAAGCTTCACAAGAACCTTGGGGTTTCAGTAAAAATCCTTAACACATGGCATCTTTGTCGGGATGTGATTTCAAAGCTCACCAACCTTTTGCTAACCCAGTCCCTAGATAATCTCCAAACAGCCCCTCAAATTCTCCCACCGTCCAGGCCACCTGATCTCCATGAAAATAGAAACAATCTCCCTTCCAATGCAGCCTCTGCAGCTCCTGCTACGGTCCCTTCTCCTCCATCTTCACTTTTTCTTCCCACCCACCTCCTCCACCTCCCTCTTCTTCTTCCCCCTTCCCCCCTCCTGGCTCAGCAGTGCAGCCAATGCTATCTGCTGTTGTGGCCAAAAGCAATTCAGAGGACCTTGTCAATGCCCTTCCACTGATCTCTGTCCTGTGGTTCGTAATGACCAAGGACACTGTGCTCATGAGAATTCAAGTGAGGGAAACTCAGTAAATAGTACCCAAGTTCAAGAAATCCAACCTGCTCCTGATAAAAGTACTACTCATGATTTGATCAGAGCTGAAGAAGTTGACTGCAATTCCCTCTCCCTGTCTACAAAGTCAAAACAGCTCATCATGGACCAATATCTAAAGACACCGTAGGTCTATTTCTACAGAAAGACTGGCCAGAAAGTTATGCCATCCAGCCAGTACATGACATTTGGGGAGTTAACAAGCACATTCAATCTATGGGCGCTTTGCAATGTGGCTTGCCTAATCCAAATTTGATTCCCCAACACTATGAGTTGATGATAGTGGATCTCAAGAATTGTTTTTTACCATTCCTTTGGCACCATGAGACAGGGAAAAATTGCTTTTACAATCCCTGTGTACAACAATTCCCATCTTACTCAAGGATACCAGTGCAAAGTCTTGCCTCAAGAAATGTTGGATTCTCCTACTTTATGTCAACATTTTGTGTATCTAGCCTTACAGCAATTTTGTTTAGAGCACCCTGAAATGCTTGTATATCATTACATGGATGACATTTTGGTGGCAGGGCAATCCCTCCCCACAGCTGTCTATGATTCTCTGGCTAACTGATAGAGGGGGGGAAAGGCCTTCACAGAGCTCCAGAAAAGATACAAACCACACCTCCATTTTTTATCTGGGACACAAACTATTACAAACTGCATCTCAATTTACATTAGTGCAGTTGCAACAGTTCCTCGGGCACTTAAATTGGACTCGTCCATTTTTGTGCCTTTCCACACATGAATTACAACCTTTCTTTAATGCACTCCAGGGACATCAGTTTCCTGCTGAGTCCATATCTATCACAAAGGCTATGAAACATGCCATACATCAAATTAATGCAGCACTGAGAAGCACCATGGTACACAGCATTCCATCTTTTGGTCCCTTGCTGCTGGTTGTTTTAAACATTCTCCAGCTGCCTGCTCGGTTGTTGTGCAGCCCCCAATCTGTCAAGGCCAATGCTATAGCAGAATGGCTTTATTTACCTAACACCGCTCCTCAAAATGTTTATTTTACTCTAAGTGCAATTGCAGACCTTGTAATCAAGGGAGCCATTATGCCAAACAACTCACACGTTGGGATATCCTGTGTTGTTCCTTACTCATTTCCAAGGCTGTTTCTGATAATTTACTCTCTTCGTCATTACCTTATCACGTTGCTTTTTCAGACTGTTTTGCTGATATGTGTTTCGATCCTGCTCTATCTTTAAAAAACCTTCTAGCTGCTAAATCACAACCTTTTTTGCAGCTCACATTCGATCTCATACTGGATTCCAAGATGCTATCTCAGAAGGAAATCATTGTGCAGAATCTGCTCTTCATTCTTTGTGTTCCCTTTTTTCTAATCCCATTGGCAGCCATTCCTTTTTTCACCAAAATGCTAAACAACTCTATAAATAATTTTCTATTCCTTTTTCTCAAGCTCGAGACATCATCTCCTCCTGTTCCATGTCTCCCATTTCTTTTCCTTTTGATACTGTTAACCCATGAGGAACAGATGCCAAATCAGCTTTGGCAAATGGATGTCACTCATGTTCCTTCCCTTTCTCCTCTTTCTTATGTCCATTTACAGGCTTTTGTGGAGAGAACACATTGCTCTTTTTTCTCCTTGCAAAACAAACAAAAAACAGAGGGATCAAGCTGCAGGATGTTCCAGATGTGGTGTCAATCACATTGTTCACACTAAATCATTTAACTGTCTCTGCAGGTCAGCACAAGCTGTCACCAGTAGAGAAACACTTTTGTAAAGAAATCCCTATGGAACACCCACTGGTGACTTATAAGCAACCTCCTGACCCTCAGTGGGAGGGTCCAGCCCCTTTACTAACATGGGGTTGCAGCTATGCTACTGTGCTTACTCCCACAGGTCCTTTGAGGATCCCAGCTTGGTGTATGTAGCCTTATCATGGAAAGAATGAGTTGGCGTCACAACCTGCAGGACCCCATTCTGGAATTAAATCCAGTGATGATAACCCTAACCCAGATGACTGCGTGTTTTCAAAAGTGCCCAACCAGACCTAAAAGCACTCATCCCAAAGTTACCTGGTGGATGTTAAAGACACTGAGTGCTGATGAAAAAAGAACTCAAATTCAGCAGCACATCCCAGAGACTTTTGAAACTTTTTTAGCAGCTATTGTCTCTCAGCTGAATGCTAACTCTCTGATGCTGTTGTGCTGTATTCTCATTCTTGGAACTGTTCTAATAGGTTTTGCAGAGGCTTGAGAGGATTTGCATGCCCATCTGCAATTTAACTTATGGGAAAGGCTGGCGGAAATTGTGAATGTCTCTCACTTCTGCCTGCAGGAGGCATATGCTATGCATGGACTACTGGGAACTTGCTTAACTCCTGCCTGTAAAGAACCCCGGGACATTACTAATGACAATTCATTAGGTCAATGGTTTAATGCCACTGTCGTTAAATACCCCAATTCTCATGATGGGGGTGAATAACAAGAACGCTACCCATTGATGCTTTTTTTCTTTACACCCCTTTTGTAGCAACTAATGAAAACCCTTCATGTGCCAGAGTAGTCAACTGTTCCTCTGACACATGCATTTCTACAACCAAAGCCACATGGAATTGTACACATGCTGTCAACATTTCTTATAATTGGGCACATATCATCTTACCTTCAGGGTGGTTTTGTACATGTGGTCAACATACTTTTAGCTACATTCCAGCCAATCTGTCAGAAACACAATGCTGCTTTAGTAGATTAGCAATCAACTTAATGCAGCCTTTTGCTGTGAGAACTCCTCGACTCGACTGAGATGGGAAAGCTATCTCTTGATAGTACTTGTAATGGTAAAGTTACTTTGTTATCCAAAGCAAACTATGTTTCACTGGCTGTGTCATTTGTTGGCATTCTTGGCCTTGCTGTTCATAATTCTTGCACTCTTGCCAACATTGTGTGCACCTTAGCTAAAGCCATTAACCTCACTTCCACTGCTATTGTCCTGCTGAATCAGGAACGACAACTACGTGATGCTATTTTAGACAACCGAGCAGCATTGGATTATCTCATGTTGTGTAATCATATTGGTTGTGAGTCTTTTAATAATCTCTGTTGCTTTAATTTATCTGATAATAGCCATGCAGTGAACAATCAGCTTCCTTAGCTGAGACACCTCGCCGAGAACATACAACAAGACATACTTCCTTCCTGGTTGGACAGTTTATGGTCAGGCTGCCCCACTTTGGATGGCTTCACACTGTATTAATGTATGCAATTATGCTTTTCATACTCCTTGTAATTTGCTGTTGTTTTATTCAATGTATACCAACCTTCTTTTCCATAATAACTACCTGTTGCAAAGCTTCGCCTTCTCGCCTTCATCATAACGATTTATATGTAGTTCACGAATATATGAAAGAATATATGCCTTTGCTTAAAAGAAAAGAAAAAGGGGGAATGTGGGAAAACCCTGTTCAAGGTCACTAGTTATTTTCTGTTTTCAGTGAGAGCAAACTCTCTTGTTGGGGAGCAGCGGCTGCCAATGGGTGGGGTGAATCCCTCATTCTCCCTTTCTGCCTAGAGTCAGAGAATTAGATAATAAGTTCAAAGGCTTTCTCCGGCCAATCCTAAGTGGCGATTAGATAGCTAGTGTCCTATCTGAATTCTTTCAACATTCTGTGTAAGCTTGCCAGTTAATAAAGTTTTCAGGGTGTTGCCCTGGGGCTCTGCTGATGGACATCTGAATGACAACTTCTTCATTTTCTCTCTAAAGCTAATTGCTTTCCTAATTGCCTGTGATCACCCACTTTCTTTGTTCTGTGATCATCTAAAATGGAATAAGTCCTTTGTTGGTGACTGTGTAACCAATTAGCATTGTCTTAACAAATTAGGCAGCAAACACGGTCTACCATAATATTTTCAAGTCCTGTGGTTGAAGCCCTAACACTAGATGGAACCTCAAAACCGTGTCTAGCATAGCAGAGGAACAACAACAACAACAGTAAATTATTTTATGTGTAACATGGTGCAACATTAAAAATCCAGACAAAGCACTGCTTTAAACGAATTTTTTAATGCTGGATTGCATCTCCTGATGCAATATCTGTTTTCTGGAAATAAAACAAAGAAGACCTGTGTTTACTCCTCCTTGCATTTCCCCCCATGCTTGAGGAATAAAGTGCCTCTGCTCTTCCTACAAAAAAAGAGAAGCCCATTATTAAAATTAAGTAACCAGAGTTGTGAAACAAAGTTACCCTAAGGTGCACTCATAACTGATGAGATATATTAATTAATTGATTTATTTTAAATATATTTAACCCACCTCTCTCCTTAAAAAGGACTGCAGGAAGCTTACGACAATTAAAAGACAGTATCTGAGATGAGTAACAAACAGTATGCAATGCTAAAATATTCAGTGAATACAGTACCAAAAAACATAAGCAATAGCAAAGTGCATTTAGTGCAGTTAGGTACAACCATCCACTGAATTTTTTTTCCTCAGGCAATCAGTCTTTAAAGGAAAGCTTGTCTGAAGAGAAAGGTCTTTGCCTGCTTGTGGATGGACAGCAAAGATGGAGCCAGTCTGGCCTCCGATTGGAGGGAGTTCCCGAGTCTGGGAGCAGCAACAGAGAAAGCTCTCTCCAATGTCCCCACCAAAGGTACCTGTGAAGGTTGTGGCACTGAGAAGAAGGTCTCTCCAGATGATCTTAACACATGAGTAGGTTCATTAAGGGAAATGCGATCCTTGAGATAGCTTGGATGCGAGCTGCTTAGGGCTTTATAGGTTATAACGTAAAACCATCACTCTGTGTTCTGTCAGAAATACATTGACAGCCAGTGGAGCTGCTATAAAAAATAGGGGTTATGTGATCCTTGTGTCCAGCTCCAGTTAGCAATCTGGCTGCTGCATTTTGGACCTGTTGAAGTTTCCTGACACTTGCCATAGGCAGCCCCAGGTAGAGAGCTACACTGAGTCCTTTCCTCTAGCAGAACTGTTTCCTTTGGTGGAAGAAATGGACACCGCTAATGAGAACTGTTAAAGTCTACCTGAGCACAAACCAATATAAGAAATACAGCAAGATGTCTGGGAGAGAGAAAAAGGTCTGAGAATCCATGCAGATTTTATTTTATTTTATTTACAAAGGTTGATAAAAAGAACATCATCTGGATGTAGGGAACTTAAAGGGGTATAAATACACTGACTGGAAAAACCCTTTGTAAACAAGGAAACAACTTCAGAACATAATCTGGCTGACAGTAGGGTCTGAGATCACATTTTAATTTTTCTCCATTGATTAAACTCCATTAATCTATTGGCTATATATTATATTCAAATTCTGGATAATGACTGAATTAGTTAGCTGTTTCTCATCCTTGCACAAACATACCAAAGTACTAACAGGTACTGTGTTTCCCCTTAAATAAGACAAGGTCTTATATTAATTTTTGCTCCAAAAATGCAGTAGGGCTTATTTTCAGGGGATGTTTTATTTTTTTCATGGACAACAATCTACATTTATTCAAATATTTTAATTAATTAATTAATTAATTAATTAATTAATTAATTAATTACCCCGCCTATCTGGTCATTGCAACCACTCTAGGTGGCTTCCAGACAATATAAATATATACCGAAATAAGAAAAGTAAAACAATATAAAACCATAAACAATAAACAATAAAATACAGTTATGTCATCTTCCAGTTGCTGCACAATGGCGGAGGGGGGGGTTTCATTTAATGAGGGCTTATTTTTGGGGTAGGGCTTATATTACAAGCATCCTGAAAAATCATACTAGGTCTTATTTTCAGGTTAGGTCTTATTTTCGGGGAAACAGGGTAGATGAGGAAATCCCTAGCGATTTCTTCAAGTCACCTTTCAATTCACTTCAATCCAATTCATATTATTCAATTATTACTTCAGTTAATTAGAATGTGTTAACAACCTCTATACTTACAAGGCTGAGCTGCAGAAAGTGCATTCGTTACCATATGTTTTGTTATCAGAACCGCATTGAGGGTTATAGTTCATTGTACACATTCCTGGGTGTGAAGAAAATCGTCGGCAGAAATCCTACAAAGAAAGAGTAATGGAATTCTGAATCAGTCCTCCTGTTAAACAAGACTTAGCCTACAATCACAAAATAAGCAGTGCAGTGACGACTATGAGCAGCAGATTGCCACATAGGTTTATTCGTTCCATGGCGGCACTGTTAGTTACCTTTATAGTCATTGCTTTTCAAGGGGTTGCCAAGCTGCTTTACTCTGTATTACTTTCTTTAGGTTTAGTTCTTTCCTCTACAACAGTGGTTCCCAACCTTGGGTCCCCAGATGTTCTTGGACTGCAACTCCCAGAAATCCTGGCCAGAACAACTAGTGGTGAAGACTTTGGGGAGTTTTAGTCCAAAACATCTGGAGGCCCAAGGTTAAGAACCACTGCTCTACAACATATGTTTCACATTGAGTAAGAGTATTCCATAGGCAGACGTATGCCATACTTAGTGTCAGCATGCACAAAAACAGTTACGTACTTTGAAATAAAAAGTTACTTTTGAATTAGTCTCACTTCTTTAGGCAATAAAATTTGTTTTCACTTAGTTCTACACTTTTTCCATTTTTTTCCCCACCTGGTTCATTGAATGAATGCTGAATAAATGAAATATTTTTGGTGGCTATTAAGGATTACAATACTTATTTGAGGGCAACAGATTCCTCAGTTGATTTATATTGCTTTCTCTTTTTTTTGGTCAGGAACCTCCTAGCTGAGAAAACATTTCCTTCCCTTATAAGAACTACTCTCACAAGATTCTGTTTCTGACCTTGTCACATTAAAATTAAATTTGTATTTCTAATATACGCATGGAAGAAATCTGGAATAATACGAAACATTGCAGGACTGTGGTTATTGCATCTAATTCAACAGACAGACACAGAGACACACATTTTAGGCCTTAAATACCTGAGGTAAATGGCCATTTTTGTCCCTCCATTAAAGGAACAGGTAATAAGATGTTTTGGAAGTGTCAGAATGAAAATGATTATGTAAAGATCAGTTAATTACACTTCTCTGTCCACAAGCCATTGAGTCTTCCTCCTGAGTGTCTAAGCTGTATTGATAAACCTGGCCTGTAGGAGCCAAAACAAATTCAGTGACTCTGCAAAACAATCTGCTTGCATCCATAGGAATGTCATAGGATTTGCCACCTCTTGGCATGAGGGAAGAACAAGCTTTTTTGAGCAGAAAACAAAGACAACTGGTTTGTAAACAAAGGAGAGGAGGAGATGATCAGGTGCTACACTAAGGGAATCTCACACATAGGTCTGTGAATTTCTAGATTTGAAAGCTCACTTTTCAATTACATTATATTTATTAAAGCAAATCCATATGGCAGCATGAACCTGAACCCTCAATTGCTTGACAGCAGACTTTACATTTTCCACATTAATTATCCCAAGGGTGAATTTTAATTGTAGGTCTAAAGTGTTTTCAACATGCTCAACACCTAGTGTGGTCTACTTAATAGTCTGTGACTGTTTAAAACTATACGTGGGCAGTACCACTAGGCCAGCAAAAAAACTGAATACAAGAGCATAATAATCACACATAATAAATAAACAAGTGAAGCACTATTCGTTAGTCACTTTACAGAAACAGATGTCAAGGCAAACAGCTTTAAAATGTAAGTGAAATAGAAAAATGAAGAAGCAAGTACTAGAGCTGGAAATGGTATGGATTTTTAGGTTAAAATCACTTATGCCTAATGGCCTAGATGCTATTGTGGAGTTTACATGTTTTTCATGAATTATGGGGGCTTGTCTGTATTTCCTATTAGTTGACAACTATTACTTTAAGAGTCACTATGAAAGAAGTTTAACAGCTGCATGGTTATGCCTTGAAAACATTTAAAGATACTGTAGGTGCAAACTGATTAAGAGAGAGTTTTTTTCTCCCTGGGAAGTTCACTTGTACTGACGTTTGTGAGTATATAGTAATAATAATAACAATGATTTGAATTAAGTATTTTATTGAAGGTGTATGGAATGCGAATTTCTATTTTCTATACTTCAGATTATTTGTGGGTAATACTGAGTCCTAGCACTTTGATGAAGAAAACTGAAATCAAGCTTCTTAGTTAGCAGCAATGGACCAAAGCAACACTAGATTCTGAAGAAAAATTGAGAGAATTAAAAAAAAAAGCTCTCAAGGAAACTTCAAGCCTAACAAGACATGGACTATATGAATTAAGCACCTCTATGTGTTTAGCATTTCTCGTGAACTATTTTCTAGACTTCCCAGTGGATATGTATGTATCAATATAGGAATTATACACATCATAACCATATACTAGCCTTGAGAAATATTCCTGGCTTCTCTGTGTCTGTATATATCTCAATTAATGTGGTTTGAATATTATAAACCAGTGGTCCCCAACCTTGGGCCTCCAGATGTTCTTGGACTTCAACTCCCAGAAATCCTGGCCAGCAGAGGTGGTGGTGATGGCTTCTGGGAATCGTAGTCTAAGAACATCTGGAGGCCCAAGTTTGGGGACCACTGTTATAAACTTTAATACTGTATACATTACTGTGAACTATTTTCTAGACTTCCCAGTGGATATGTATGTATCAATATAGGAATTATACACATCATAACCATATACTAGCCTTGAGAAATATTCCTGGCTTCTCTGTGTCTGTATATATCTCAATTAATGTGGTTTGAATATTATAAACCAGTGGTCCCCAACCTTGGGCCTCCAGATGTTCTTGGACTTCAACTCCCAGAAATCCTGGCCAGCAGAGGTGGTGGTGATGGCTTCTGGGAATCGTAGTCTAAGAACATCTGGAGGCCCAAGTTTGGGGACCACTGTTATAAACTTTAATACTGTATACATTACTCATTTTTATAACATGCATGAGTAGATTATAGGAGTATATAAGTAAATTCTTGTTAGATATTGTGCTTAGTAAGTTAACACGGGTTTTGTTTATATTGTTAGGCTTTTAGTGCACCATGTTTCTCTCTTGATTTTGGGTAAAGGTGGAGGGCAGCAGGAAAAGAGGAAGACTGAGTATGAGATGGACTGACTCCCTAAAGAAAACCACAGACTTGAGTTTGCAAGAGATGAGCAGCACTGTTAGGAGAGCTCTCATTCATAGGGCCACGTAAGTCAGAGACAACTAAGAATAAAAGCAATATTATGTAATGACAACTGCAGCATTTGAGCCTATGAGCACTGGCACAATTGCTTGATAATGAGGAGAGGGAGGGATTATGCTGTGTATGCAGAAGGATCTGAGGTATGCCAAATGTGTAAGGATATTTCCCCTGCTTCCCATGACTGCAAGCAGGTTGATTTTATCGGCAGTACAAGCAATCTTACCCAGTAGAAAAATGGGTAAGAAGATTGCAGAAGATGAAGCAGTATTACTACAAACAACATGAAAGCAAAAATTTCACCTGAAGGAAGGACAGGCAGTTAGAAGAAAAGCACTTGGATCAAAGAGAAAGAGAGACCCACAAAGTAGGTTATACTTCCATAATGCTTAGAGCAGACCAATTAAAAATTATCTATCAGGATAGAACTGTATCAAGCTACAAGCCAATACGGCCTCATGATGTGATGGTCGGGGACATATACAAAGCAGTAGCGAGGTCTCTAACTCAAAGTGGGTGGGGCTACTGTTATCCTGTACTCATTCCCACATTCCCACACACAATTCACAGACCCAGTGTCCAGCAGATCCTTTCAGTAGCTTATGAAAGGGTTCTTCTCAGAGAATTGAAGCCCAGCACAGAGCAGGAAAAAGTTCTCATTTCTGATGTGCAGTGGTAAGTGAGGGAAAGGTCCTATCTCAGACAAATAGTGGATGGGAGATGAAACCTGTTGACTGGGAAGAAAGGATCAGGGTCTGGGAAAGAAGGTGGTGGGCTTGACAGGGAAACTTAACCACCTGAATCTAGCCAGAAATTCTCAATGCCTGATATCTATTGATTTTGCTCTCTGCACATATTCTTGCATCTCCAGTCCTTATGGATATAAAGTCCCCATGCCTGCACGGGACTCCCATCTCATTCCCTAAAACACAAAATGATTTTGGCATAAAAACTGTAAACACCCCCAGAGTAGCCTGGTAGCCAGACAGGCAGTATAACGGTCAAATAAAATAAATGAATAAATTGCAATAAAAATTTGCCATTTGAATTTGGAGAGCTTAACTGCGAACCATTTATTTGTTCGCTGACTTACCGAAATACATTGGTTGTCATGTTTCTTAGCAATATTTACTCCGGATTCCCTGAATGAGGGAAAGAAATGAAAGAAAAACTTGGCATTACTTTAAAAGGCTTTATGTAGGTGCCTAGAGGTATAAGTGCCCATCTACACTGAGCGTTTGTTAAATTTTCATTCCTCCCTTGATACAGGCTCTACATCCATGTGATGCTAGGCTGAAACTAGTTTTGAAAGAGTCAAAGAGGGACCGAAACACCCAAAACTTTGCTTAAGTTTGCTCCAGCATGCAGTATGCTCTTGTGGACACCAGTACCATGTTGATGTGAATATGTTGTAGATGTGTGTTATATTTTTTTTTTGAGTTGCCCTTATGGGTGCCTTTCTCCCAGTCTGTTTCCATCCCTTCATGCCTCATTGCTGTTCCTGTTTCTTGTGATAACAGCTCCTGCCCGTGTTCTGCTTTTAAAATGTTTTCTTTAATGTTGCAATTTTTGCACCACAACACACAAGTTAAAAAAAGGAAAAATAGTAAACCTTAACATTGCAGAAAGCATTGCAGGAAAAAGGTGAAGATTTGAGAAGGATAAGCAGGGCGGGAAGGCAAGAAGGACTGAAGTAATTGGGGAGAGAGCAGAAGACATGTGAGCTGCTCCTGTGTTCTGCTTTTTTATCCTCCCCCCCCCGAATATTATCACTTTAAACATAAAAATAAGAACCTTAAAATTAAAATGAACAGCAGAGAAGCCATGAGGAGTTGAGAATGGTGGGTCAGTGCAAGAAGAAGGGAAAGGGAGTGAGTGAGCGAGAGTAAAGTAGGTGTGAAGAGGGTGGAGAAGACTGGTAAAAGGGGAAGGCAATTTGTGTTGGGTGTGAGACCTCAGGCAGCAATTCTAGATGTGTGTAGACAGTGGGTGCTGGGATGCACTGCGTCATTCCAGTAGTTCCAGCAACAAAACCTTCCACATGTGTGGATTCCAATACTGGCATGATCTATTCAAATCTTTAATAAAACCCCACCAAAACAATCACAGAATGAACATGAACAATGCTACTGTGTAGAGAACCTCTTGGATTCAAGAGCTGGTTACTTAGCTTTATGCATCATTTGTCCGTTCTACATAGCAAAATGGACTTCAGCCAGGGCAATGTGGGGGCCTGCCTTTGCACAGCACTGAAGCTCATTACCTTATGACAAGCCTACAAAGATTTGCTATTCACAAGACAAGTAATCAGTGAAAATGGATCTGAGCCTAAAACCGGATTTCTCCCATATACTGGGTCTATAAGACATTGTGAGCATCTTGGGAGAATAGCAGGGTGGAGATGGGGCAGCACATATGAACGTAACACAGTCCTTTCCCAAAGAATTATAGTGATCACTTCCCCTCAAAAACATTTGGTAGCTGCATTACTTACACTCTCTTCCTACAAAATTCGCATTCGTTGGTATATGTTTTGTCATCTGTTCCACACAGTGGTTTGTACATTCTATTACAGGGCCTAATTCTGCCTTTCGCAACCATAAAAGAATTGCAATCAATCTGGAAAAAAAATTGCATAGGATTTTAGATGAATACTAGTAGAAAATAATTTGACTGGAATATTCAAATGATTTTCAATGTAGGAAAAATTGCAGGATTCCTGATACCTTGATCTTATTTTTACCATGTTATTTATCTTTTGCTATTGTACAATACGCTGTATTTACTGATTTTTGTGGGTCTTTTAGATCTGTGGTATTCCTTCAGACCATCATCTCCATACAAAAAGAAAGAAAGAAAGAAAGAAAGAAAGAAAGAAAGAAAACCTTGCAAGTTTTCTTCATGACTGTACCACAAGAAAACAAAAATTGTATTTCCATGGCAAGAAGTGCGTCCACATGGGACTGAAAATGCCTAATGTGGCCTACGTTCATAACCAGAGAGCGAAGCTTCTCTGAAACAGCCTGTAAAACTTTCCTACTACAGAACAGACTTTAAATCAAAATGGATGCTATTGGGACAATCTTATGACTACATATCCCATTCTAATACACATAAAAACACAAATCATCACAGTAGGAACCCCCCCCCCGTCAGCGATCAGCTCCCCAAGAGGATGCTTGATCGGTCGGACAGAGAGTAATTAGGAGATTGTACACCCTAAAATGTGCTGAGAGAGTCCCATAGCTCAGCTAGGCGTGTTCAACTCTCCATCTTACAAGTCTGCCCTAACGAGAATACCCTTGTACATTTGGATATTACTGATAGAAAACCATGTGTTGGCTGTCTCTAGCAGCCATTGATGATGATTAAATCCTGTGCGAGATAGCAAAAATTTAATGCAACTTGCTAGGCATGTTGGACACCTTACTACTCCCTAACCACCCCATGGCTGGAATGCAATGTGTTCCAGCAAAAATACTGCACATCTTTATCAAATTTGGTGAATCCTGCTAGTTTGGTACATAGCCTGGCAGCCATTGATACTTATGATATATCCTCCTAGTTCGGTACACAGCCTGTGTAGATTCAATAATATTTTGAATTCAAATAATGTATGATTTCCTTCCTTTCAAATCAAGGGGGTAATGTCAGTGTATATAAATTTTTCAGGGGTAAAATGTAAAAAAAGTTCCCTGACCCCTGTTCTAACAAGTTAGAGCCCCACTATATGTAGGAACAGAACAATTATGTTCTGAATGTAAAGGATGGGGAGCCATGTCAGCAGTAAAAGGGCAACCCACAAAGTGGATGAAGCTACTGTTGGCTTGCATCATTCCTCCAATTGTATATACACAGAGAGAGAGAGAACACATGCCCTTCCTCCTTCCCAAACCAGCTTCCTTGATTGACCTATACTGATCCTCTTGGAGGGGATATTTCCTCTGCCAAAGAGAGCCAAAGAAGCCCTGTCATTCAGCCCTTCACAGATTGTGGGAAGGCTATTACTCAGAGAACAGCCTCCAATACACAACATGTCCACTGGCCTTGCTAGCGAGGGCTTCAGAGAGATGTAGTCCAAGGGAATAACTTTTCCACATTCTACCATGGGAAAAGATAATCAGGATTATCACTTCCTCATTGGTCTCTTCCTCTTTCAATGATCTGACAGGGGAAAAAAGAGTTTTTTTGTTTTTTTAAGTAGTAATGTGAAGGCTATTTCAGCAGGGAAATGTTCACCATCGGGTAGCCTCGGCCTCAGGAGGGGGGGGGAGGAGTAAGATGGAACAGTGGTTGTGGGACATCTCCAAATGCAGACAGTCCAGTCAATATTATTGACCTCACTTTTCCCCTCTGTCATTACTACTGTAAAGCGATGGTCCAGAAGCTTCCCTACTTGCACAGATGGTGGGAGAAAACTGTCCAGTGCCAGGTTGTTCTCTCAAGCATAGTGTGCTCCAAAGTCCCAGCCCCCAGTCCTCTGCCGATGCCCACGTGGCAACTACTGACAATCTGCCAGTGTACACCTACCCCTTCATGGTCATCATGGCCGATAGGTAAAGAAGCCTGGTTTTCAAGCAGGTGTTTCCAGAACAACACGTTTATTATTTCTGAAGAGTCTTTCAGCTGTGAACTGTGTTCCGTACTGTGTATGAAAGGTCGTTCTAATAGAGTTTGCTCAAGATAAGGTGGCTAGCCTATGTAATCCTGACTGCCATACAATGGCTTCAAGAGAAAATGGACTGGGACACAGTTTGAAGGGAGCCAAACAATATTTCAGAAAGTGTCTGTAAGGTTTTCTTAAAGCATTTCCTTAAACTAATAGAAATAACTCATTAAAATTTAGGCACGTTTTGCCTGTATGGTTCTGAAAGATTAGTCCTGTAAGAAGGCAAAATATGATTGCTAATAACCTGATTTTATGTTTTATGCCCTGATTTTGTTCACTGCACCTAAAGCAAGTCCTATAATCAGTTGGACTCTGCCAATGCTGGTGGAAGCATCAGTTGTCAGTGCTGAGTCCTCATTCCATTCATCTCTTTGATCTCATAAAATCCATTCTCTATCCCCTAAGCTAGCCTGCTGTGCTTAGTGGCAATGCAGGACACTGCATCACTCCCAGTGCTGGTGTAAGAGCAATGTACCACGGAGTTTGCTTCCAGAATCTTACTCTCACTTCTTGAGCTACCCCCTTCCCAGTTTTGCCCAAACCATCTTATGAACCTTATGCCAGTGAGAGACAGACATCTTTGACAATATCCTATACAACCATTCATATTCTTTAATTCCCATCCTTGAAAGACCTGAGCATTGAGGTCTTCCTGAAACCAGTGCTTTCCCTTATTTCTCATGCTTTCAAAAGGCAGTTTGGGGACAATCTGAGTGAATCATCTCAACATTTCATGGGAGTGCTTCCTGTTGCAGTCATATAGCCGTCAGAACTTCCTTTATGGATTGTCCCATGCACCTTTGTGAATTACAGAGAATTCTTGTGAGTTACAAAAGTGCACAGCATGCTTTTTAAAGGGCACAAATAAATGGTTCAGGAGTGGTGTGAAGGTAAGAGGGCTGATGGATTGTTATGGCTCCCAGTCCCATAATTCAGAATGATGGGGCTTCCTCTAAGTTGTGAGACTGCCTTTCCCTCTGAAAGTCCAATGCATTCTCATGAGCCGCTATACAAGAGCTTTGTTCTATCTGAAATTCTTGGGTGGCTCTACATAACCAAGCATGGCATGTTATAGATGAACTGAGGGTGCAAAAGCCATTTTTCATATTCAGCCACAAGGATCAGCCTAGCCGCAGTTGCATGGCATGTTATAGATGAACTGAGGGTGGCAAAAGCCATTTTTCATATTCAGCCACATGGTAGGATCAGCCTTGCCACAGTCAGGATGGTACTGGATTTCACTGGGCAGGTGGTTTTATAGACTTGTGAATAGCTATTTTTGCCCATGACACATTTCCTTCCAGGGAGATGATGAAGTCCAGTATGGAATTTTCTATTTGACCTGCTAGGGGGCCAAAGAATTGGAGTCATGCAGAATCCTGTCTGTCTGTGGCTAACCTATAGTAGCTACCCTGTGTCTAGCAGTGGATACCACAAATGAAGATGTCTCAAGTTTGGTTTTCTGTTTTCCTTAACAACTTATTTTCCTTGTTTTTCCATTAGGCATTACAAAAAAAATTGAGCACAATCCAAGCGGAAGCTGTTTTATACACACCACCCTTAACAACTTATTTTCCTTGTTTTTCCACTAGGCATTACAAAAAAATGAGCACAATCCAAGCGGAATCCAAGACTGAAATGGCAATGATCACACCCTTCCACAGCTGTAAGTCATTTCAACTACACCAAGGTAATGCTTGAGGGATTGTGTCAGATTTTTGTCGTCATTAAGTAATATGTTTGGTAACTATAAGACACATTCTTCTCTCGTCTACTGAAGACGGATGATTTGTACGCTATTTGTATGGCACCGCAAGCTACCGATAGCTACAAGAGCATCCCAGTTTGACTCACCTCGCCTGCATCTTGACTGATGACACCTGGGAAAAGACCAAAAGATGCATTTGTGTTATGTCTTGGAATGCTCTTGAATTCTGAGAGTTAAATCTGGTTGGAGATTGCTAGCTGTGACCTTTGTAAAATAGGGTCAAATGAATTTCTGAACTAAAATATGCCCTTTTAAAAGAAAGAAAATTAATCAAGCCTTATGAGACTTCTGATATGTTACAGTGTGAGATGCCTGTATAATTGCCACCTTAATTGTGCATCATATATATATAAAGTAAGTTAGGACTTTGCAGGAGAAGGGACACTTCTCCCTTGTGGACTCCATCTTAAATAAAAAGAGCAAGAACCACTTCCCCCCACCTTTCCAGAATATTCAGAGTCACTGCATGACAACCATCATCCTGGGAATACCTTTGTGCAAGAGAAACTCACCTGAGAAGCACCAAAGTGCTAGAACAAAGACAACAAATGTCCCCATGGTCATGGAAGGAATGATGGTTTAACCGTCTTCTGGTATTCTGAGAGGAGCTGATCTCAGAAGCAAGATTTCAGGTGTACATGCAGCATAAGCAGATTTATATACACAAGTGTTTACATTAGATATCCTAATTATGCAATGCTTGGCAGACCACATGAAGTTGCGTAACAAATGATTGATTCCCTGCCATAAGGAAATATACTGTAAATTGAAATAAATGTATAGTATATTTAATATCCGTGGTGCGGAAATGCCACTGGAGAAGGATATTTGACCCACAGTTGAACCCTGATAATACTGAATAACTACTGACTTGTCTCTAATATTCTCTTCTTATGCAAGATGTTGGAACAGATTGTGGCTTCTCAGCTCCGGGAGTTCCTGGATGAGATGGGGTGTTTCATGGTTCACTTTGGGATACTTCGAGGAAACATGCCTGCCCATAATGAAATGAAACACTGAACTATTATTGGCACTGGTGATTCGTACATGAGCTATAACTTGGACATCCCAAATCAATCTTGACAAGACTTGTGAGGAGGACAGTCAGCACAAGGGTCAGTCCAAGTATGATAAAGATTGCCAGCTGCTAAAGACCACTTTCTTGAGGGGACCTGCTTTGAGGGACCATAAAGCCATCCCAAAGCCAAAATTCACCAAACATTGACATGGGGATGGGGAGGAGAGTCCCCTGAAGAGTTTCTGGGAGTTTGGCAACTCTAACTCAAAAAGGAGGCAATTCTACCACTCCTGAAATTCCCAAATCAAACAAACCACAAAGCAGTTCATTTTTTGGGAAAGTTTGTGAAAGTTCATGGTTTGTAGTTTGTGACTAGTAACAAACCACAAACCACTATTTTCCCAGTTCGTGTAGATGGGGAGGAGAGTCCCCTGAAGAGTTTCTGGGAGTTTGGCAACTCTAACTCAAAAAGGAGGCAATTCTACCACTCCTGAAATTCCCAAATCAAACAAACCACAAAGCAGTTCATTTTTTGGGAAAGTTTGTGAAAGTTCATGGTTTGTAGTTTGTGACTAGTAACAAACCACAAACCACTATTTTCCCAGTTCGTGTACATCTCTGTTTTGGGAAAGTTTGTGAAAGTTCATGGTTTACAGTTTGTGACTAGTAATAAACCACAAACCACTATTTTCTCAGTTCGTGTCCATCTCTGTTCCTGGCACAATTTTTGCATTGTCCATCCATATGATTCTCATCCCAAGGGGAACCAAATGTGTAAGGTTTTGGAAACTGAGGACCAAAATTCTTCCTCAAGAAGAGCCATTGACTCTAGAGATATTAAACAGAGGAGAGGACTTTAAATATATATATAAACATTCAAAGGCTTATTGAAGGATAGCTCTTTCAAAAGGGGAAGGAGGCAGTCATTCAGGTATCCAGGGCCCAAGCCATTTAGGGCTTTATATGTCAAAACAAGTACTTTGAATTGGGCCCGGGCAACAACTGGTAGCCAATGTAATTCAAACAGAATCGGCTTGATATGTTCCCTTGCGGCCCCACCATTCATCAGGTGCGCCTCGATTCTGGACCAGTTGCAGTCGCCGGACCTTCTTCAAAGGCAGCTCCACGTAGAGCACATTGCAGTAATGTATACGAGATCTTACCAGTGCGTGTGTAACTGTAACGAGACTCCGCTCATCCAGATAGGGCCGTAGCTGGTATGATTTCCACAGCTGAAGGAAGGTACCTCTGACCACGGAGTCCACCTGAGTTTCCATTGTTAGACTGGGGTCCAGGAGCACCCCTAAGCTGTGGACCCTGTCCCTTAGGGGGAGTGTAACCCCATTCAGGGCATGGAAATGCCCCTCCAGCCTGTCCGGTGAAGCACCCACTAACAGCACTTCTGTTTTGTCTGGATTGAGTTTCAATTTATTAACTCTCATCCAGTCCATTATCAGGGCCAGACACGAGTTCAACACAGAAACTGCCTCACCTGGACTGGTGGAAAATGAGAGGTAGAGCTGAGTATTGTCAGCGTATTGCTGACTTCTCAGCCCAAACCTCCTGATGACCTCTCCCAGCGGTTTCATGTAGATGTTAAACAGCATGGGGGACAGTATCAAGCACTGAGGAACCCCATGACATAAATGCCATGGGGCAGAGGAACTGTCCCCAAGCACCACCCTCTGGACACAGTCAGCCAGGAAAGAATGGAACCATCATAAAGCAGTGCCCCCAATTCCCAACCCAACCAGCCTATCCAGAAGGACACCATGGTCAATGGTGCTGAAAGCTGCTGAGAGGTCCAAGAGTATCAACAGGGTCACACTCCCCCTGTCTCTCTCCCGGCAAAGGTCATCATACAGGGCGATCAAGGCAGTCTCCGTACCAAAACCAGGCTGGCAACCTGATTGAAATGGATCCAGAAAATCCATTTCATCCAGCAGCACCTGGAGTTGCCCGGCCACAACCTGCTCCAACACTTTGCCCAAATAAGGGAGGTTTTCCACTGGTCAGTAGGTAACCACCAGCCTTGGGTCCAAGTTAGGCTTTTTAAGGAGTGGACAAATTACCACCTCTTTCAAGGTGGTAGGGACCACGCCCTTTCTCAAAGAGGTTTTCACGGCCTCCTGGACCCAGATGTGAACCCCCCAGGCCGATCTTCCAAGTAGCCAGGATGGGCAAGGGTCAAGTGTAGTGGTGGTAGAACGGACCGATCCAAGCACCCTGTCCATATCCTCAGGTCTCAACAACTGAAATTCATCCATTAATACTTGACCTAAGCATGGCACACTGGACACATCCTCTGATTCTGCAGTAATGGTGGAGTCCAACCCACTGTGAATCTGAGTGATTTTCCCCTCAAAATGAATGGCAAACTCATCACAGCAAGCTGATGAGCAGTCCGGGACCTCCACCAGATTTTCTAGTTGAAGAAGATCCCGGACCACCTGAAACAGCTCTGCTGATTGACATTCTGAGGAAGCAATATGGCTGGAGAAATATTGCCATTTCGCCAGCCATACTGCCATGAAATAGGCCCGATAACGGGCTCTAAGTCATGTTCGATCGGACTCCCAGCGGGATTTCCTCCATCTGCGCTCCAGCCATCTCCCCTCTCGCTTCATTGCCCACAGTTCAGAAGTATACCAAGGAGCTGTCTGGGCTCTGCG